CTCTTACATTTTTCTTAGAGAGTCGAAAATCCTCTTGAAATGGCTGCTCACAGTCTTCACTTCTTGTGTAGTCTTTCCTTTTCAGATATCTTTTTCAGGCTGTGCACGCTGAGCATTGTTTCTGTGGCGAATGGTTTATCTGTTAAGTTTAGGAACTGTTTGCAGAATGAGATATCCTGTGATAGAGGCCCTTTTCAAAGTCACTTATACACCCATGGTCAGCAGCAGAGTAGGCACAGTCCCGTGGAGTGTGTGTTCACTGTGTCACTTGCTTTTAGCCTTTCTTTATTCCATTCAGAATAGTAATATTGGTATAAAGAATAATGACAACAACACTTTTCTTTTTCAGGAATGGTTGTCAGGGATCAAGCCTTATGCCTTATGTGTCCCAGACAAGCTCTGATATTGAGTTACACCCTGAATAATTTTTTTGGTATAGTCTCACTGTGTAGATCTGGTTTTCCTGGAGCTCACTATGCAGGTTAGACTGGCCTTGAACTCACAAGAGATCCACCTGCCTCTGTTTCCAGAATGCTGGAAGTAAAGTCTTTTGCCACCATGCCCAGCTTCTGAATGATTAAAAAATCTCTTTAGGACAATTTATACTTGAATATGTCTATCACATTCATTCTTAGGTAAATTATTTCTTATTTTTGTGTATTTAATCTTTTTAAGATCCTTTATCAAAAAGGCAAAAATTGATGAAATAGTTTGCAAATGACTTTGCTCCCTCTTTGATGCTGGGCGATATTTTTGAAGTAAAAAGTTTCCTCAAAGATTTTCAAGATCCCATTTTTCTTATTGTTATACCAGAAAGAAAGTAGAGTTAAGACTTAGTGCATGTTGGCCTATACTTGGCAAATGGTTAACTTTAGTACATTCATTTCTCTAAGTAGACTGTTTTATGGGCCATCACAAAATCTGGCATTTTAGAAAGTTATTGAAAACTGAGCTCTTATACAGTGTAAGGAGTGTTTGCAGGAGGTGAGTGCTTATTGGATTATGAGGATCCATTCTGCAGCTCTGTTCCCTTGGGTTCTTAGGCTGACTTTGCTTTCCTTGGTCCAGGGTTGAAAAGGTGGCAAGTGCCAGTTAACAGCCCCAGGGAGCAGCAAATGGTGTGCCGCTGCCACTGTGGCAGTTAGTTCCCCAAGCAGCTCTTTGGACTAACTTCTCTACATTTATTGATTGATTAACAGATATATTATCTACCGAATCTGTCTATCTAATCCATTTATCTATCTACCTACCTATCAGTCATCTATATATTTTATTCATCAATAATATATTATCTACCTATCACCTATTTCTATCATCCATCTACTTTTAAACTATCTTCTATGTTTATATCTATCATCTGTCACATATGCCTATCTGTCTATTTATGTAAATATTTATGTCCTTATCTCTCTGTCTAAATCATCTATCTATGTCCCACAACTTGGGAGGCACAGGACTCTCACTTATCTTAAAAATTACGTGTCTGACGATTTTTTTTTTTCAAGACAGGGTTTCTCTTTGTAGCTTTGTAGACCAGGCTGGCCTCAAAGAGATCTAACTGCCTCTGCCTCTGGAGTTCTGGGATTAAAGGTGCCTGCTACCACCACCCAGTTTTTTTTTGGAGAGATACCTTGCTCAGCCTATATACAGGGGGGAGAGCCTTGGGCCTGCCTTAGAGATGTGCCAGACTTCATTGACTCCCCAAGGCAAGCCTTACTCTCTCTGAGGAGTGGATGGGGTAGGGTGGGGGGGAGGTGGGGAGAGTGGGAGGAGGAGAGGGAGTAGGAACTTGGATTGGTATGTAAAATGAGAGAAGATTAAATAAAATATGTTAAAAATTACATGTCTAAGCTGGGCGGTGATGGCAGAGGCAGGTGGATCTCTGTGAGTTTGAGACCAACCTGGTCTACAAGAGCTAGTTCCAGGACAGCCTCCAAAGCCACAGAGAAACTCTGTTTCGAAAAACCAAAAAAAAAATGTCTATTAGATCTATGCTAGATAATATGCAGAGACTTTCTTTGAAGGCATATTGATACCTTTGATGGCAGCCTGATGGCTAGGGAATGGGAGTGAGGGAACAGTTCCTTCTACCCTGTGTTTCTTTGGGTACTTAAGACATACACATTGCATGATAAACACTTAAAAACATCGGCATCACTACAAATATTAATTTAAGGCAAATAACCCATGGGAATAAAATTGGAAAAGTTGTTCCATTAAAGTTAAAAAATTTATTCTAAGTCAGAGTAGCTTTTAATTAAATTCCAATAATCATTTATTGTACAACTAGCAGCCATTCATGAGCACTGTTTCAGCAACTGGAAAATCAAAGAATTCTCCTTTAGACACTGATCATTTCTTAAGGGAAAGCCTGCCATGCATTATTCCAGTCTATTTAACCAGCAGAGCGCAGTCAATAGCTAGCTGCTCATAGGCTCCTCACTAATAATGCTGCTGGTGCTGCTCTTCCACTCTCTCCCTCCTCCTCCTCCTCGTCCTCCTTCCCCTTGCATCTTTAACCATTTCCCTCCCTGTCCTCTTCTTCCCCTCCTCCTTTTTATCCTGTCTCCTCCTTCTCCCTTCCTTCTTCCTACCCCCTTTTCCCTCTCCTCTTCCTTCTCCCTCCTTTATCCTCTTCCATCTTTTCCTTCTTCCTCTCCTCCTTTCTTTTTCTTCTTTTTCCTTCTCTTTCACTACCCACCACTTTATTTCCCTGTGGCTCTTCCCACAGGTCTCATGGTGTTAGCCTAGGTTGGCTGGCTGGTACTTACAATCTCTTGCTTCAGCCTCCTGAGTGCTGGTGTTACAGGACCACATTCAATTATGTATCTTCTTATATATGACTTTGGGCAAATTAACCAAGCTCCAGTTTCTTCATGTAGTAATGTCTATAGTAATGATACTTGAGTGAATTATTTTGATGATGAAAAGAAATGCAGTGCATGGAAATTAGCTCAGTACTTCCTGTGAAGTAAAGTGCAGATGCTTTTATGAAAAATTGCCACTCTCTGCTTATACATTTTCAATATTGGTATGATTAGTTTTTGTCAGCTTGATGTAAATGAAGTTATTGGAAAGGAGGGGCCTCATTTGAAGAGCTGTCTCTATCAGAGTAGGCTGTAGGCAAGTGTGTAGGGCATTTTCTTGACTAATGATTGATTTGGGGGAGTCGAGCCTACTGTGTATGGTGCCAACCCTGAGGAAGGTGGTCCTGGATAGTATAAAAAAGCAAGCTGAACAATAAGCAGCATTTCTTCATGATCTCTGCTTCAGTTTAAGCCTCCAGGTTCTTGCCCTAACTTTCCTCAGTGATGGACTGTGATAGGGAAATGTAAGCCAAATAAACCCTTTCCTTCCCAAGTTGCTTGTGGTCATGGTGTTTCTAATACCAATAGAAAGCACATTAGCATAATGGGGGACCTCACCCCCAAACCCTAAGTGCTGTCATTGGTACTACAGCAACAGCTGCAGCCACAGCCTGAGGAGAAAGGCAAATTAGTGCAATCAAGTCTTGAAGAGGAAGTATAATTTCAGTTAGAGAATTGGGGAAGACATTTTAGGCAGAAGAATGAAGTGAGAAAAGGTACAGGTGGATACAAGACATGCCTTAGGGATAGCAGCAGACTAGTTAGGTGAAAACACACAGCTTATGGGAGTCAGAGCTTTGCCAGGAGTTGAGGACCGAAGATAGAAGAGCCTGGTCCTGGACCCCGATTCAGAGTTGGGTTCTCGGTAGTACAGATGGAAACAAAATATTGGAATATTGAAGAGAAGACAGGGTTAGAGTTGGTGTCACATGAAGGATAGAAAGAGAAGGGGAAGAGAGGGAGAGAGGGAGTGGGAGGGAGGGAGAAAGGAAGAAAGAGTCGGAAATGCACTTGAGAAGGGTGTAGGGCCAAGGGAAAAAAGCTGAAGATTCCAGATGGAGAGTTTCAGCATTAGTGGAACAAGCAGAGACAGCTGGGGACAAAATTAAGATGGAGCATGATTTTTTAAGGAGACAAAAATCGTCTGAGATAGAAAATGAGAAAAGGCTGGAGAGCTGGCTGTGGAGGAAGGGGAAACAAAGGCCTTTATGTATGTCTATTGACTTCTATTTTCTTGAAGTTGGAACAAAGTGATCTGTGGTGTGTGTGTGTGTGTGTGTGTGTGTGTGTGTGTGTGTGTGTGTGTGTGTGTGATGAGAGGTAAATAAGGCCTTGGTATGTCCATTATAAAGATAGAAAGTAGTCACTGTCTTAGTTAAGAGTAAGTGAAAGGTTGGCAGAACATTTCTGAGGTCCAGACTGGTGATAAAAGCTCTTTCTCATGTGTTTTCCATAGAGATGTGTGATTTTAACTGCATCCTAGACTCCAGAGGCAAAAGGGGATATAGGTCAGTAGAGTGGTTGTCTACTACTATGCATAAGGCTCTGGGTTTGGTCTTCAGTACTACATAAACTGGGTATGATGACTCACTCATGCCTGTAATTCCAGGACTTGGGGGCATTGAAATGGTCCGTGTGAGATAATTTTTGACAAGTCTGCTGATTAAGACAATTAAAAGTTTTTAGTCCTTCCATTGATGGCCAGACTAAGAATGACTTTGTACCTCTGAAAACTCTCTGGTGTCCAAGCTCAGGGGTACAGAGTTTTTAAAGGCAAAACCCATAAAGACCATGGTTTATATTAAAGTTAGTTAGAATCAGAATAGCCTGGAAACTTTCATTCCTGGTAAAGTGAGTAATTATTTTAGACATACACGCCAATTAGTTTTGCACCTTTTCCTAGTTATTTTAGTTAATATATCTGGACCACAATCAAGGTCATGAAAATCTCAAATGTGTTGCCAAGGCAGTCCTGAGCATTGTATGGAGGGGGTAGAGCATTTTGTGTTTAAGCAAACACAAAATGGAGTCAGAACGAGGTGGCATTACCTTAGCTATTTCAGCATAACAAATACCATCCCATTTCTCCATTAGGAAGTTAGTGACTTTCTTCCCTTTGCTTTGCTTTTGAAGGTGAAGCCAGTCATCCACAGCAAGATCAATGTGTCTGCCCGCTTCAGGAAATCACTGCTTGAGCCTTGCACCATTTTGTAAGTTGGAGCCATTCATATTTCATATTTCAGGGTAGCATTAATTGGCTGTGTACTTTCCTTGGGGTTTGGAATTTGAATGTTATGAGCATAAGTGTTTCAGATGTGTTGCCTATGTTTCCTTTTTCTCCACAGCTTGATTGCAAATGGAGATCTCATAAGCCCAGCTTCCCGACTTCTCATCCCTAGAAAAGCTTTAAATCAGTGGGATCACGTATTACAGATGGTCACAGAAAAAATAACTCTTCGGAGTGGGGCTGTTCACAGGTACGTCATAGCATCTTCCAACAGGGGTATGGTTTGGGAATCCTTGAAGATGTTCCTACGTGCAGACTGAAGTTTTTGTTCTGCCCAGTCTCACAGCCACTTAGTCTCAAATAAACACACAGAGCCTTATATTAATTATAAACTGGCCTATTATTCAGGCTTCTTATTGGCTAACTCTCTTTTAATTATTAACTCATAACTATTACTCTGTTATCTCCACGTGGTCTTGGCTTACCAGAGAATGCCCAGGAATCCTACTTTCCTGGTAGCTACAACGGGCTTCTGGCTCATAACTCATTCTATGCATTTCTCTTCCCAGAATTCTCCTAGTCTGGTAGCCTCACCTATGCTTTATGCCTGGCTACATCTTGCCTGTCCATTGGGTGGAACAGCTTTATTTATCAACCAATAAGAGAAACATATATTCACAGCATACAGAAAGAAGAACATCTCCTATCACCCATGAGCTTTGGAGTCACTGATCCATAGAGTTGAAGTTTGGCTGACCCTGTTAAGCTTAACGTGCCTCAGTTTCTTTATATGAAGATTACGATAATAATGGCACTTCAATGGGAGTTGTTTCAAACAGATTTGGTGTGCTGAAATACATCAAGAGACTTTACCTGTGTTTGCTGTTTTAGTGTAGAGAAATAAGCAAGCATCATTCAGTGTTAAGGGAGAGGAACTTCTTGATGCTTAGTTGACTGTTCTGTTCTTTCTCCCAGGGAGGCAAGACTATTTACTCAGTGGTTTGAACTGTTTGCCCCAGGCAAAGATGTCAGATGTTAGGAAGAGTAGATGGATTTAAGGAGGAGACAGGTGAGGGAGGTTAAGTGAGCTGATCTAAAGTTAAAACCAAAAGCATTTTTAGTAAAATTTAACCAAATATTTAAAGCATGGCATAGCCTGTGAAATCATCTCTTAATCATTAATTTACTTATTTATGTGTATGTGGGGGACAGGGGAACCTGTTCTACAGTGTAAATATAGAGGCCAGAGGACAACTTTTGGAAGTCATTTTTCTCCTTCCATCATGTGCATCCTGGGGTTCAAACTCAGGTTGTCAGGCTTTTGGCAAGCCCTTTACTCACTGAGCTATCCCACTGGCCCTGAGATGATCTCTTTATGGAGGCTAACTTATGTCTTTTCTTTCAGATGGATTATTACAAATAATATGTAGATGTACAGAACACATTAAGAGTGTATATGGAGTGCATATGCATGGACACATATATACACACCTACATACGTCTCCAGATCCAAGAAGTTCCCTCAGTACCTATCTCCTCCTCAGCCTTCCTGACGCACACACATGCACACACCAAAGCACAGCCACTGCCTAGAGTAAATGACTGCCTATCATGTCTTTCAGTTGGATGCATGTTTACCTATATTATCTTATAGTTTTATCATCACTGAAAATTTAAGTGTAAACTGTTTCAATTGAAAGTAATACTTAGTATATGGCAAAAATTCAAGTAGTACAGAAAGTATAAATTAAAAATATTTCTCCCACCTCAGATCTACTATTCCTTTGCTGAGTAGTTTTTGTACCCTAGAAATCAGAACAAGAAATATTTTGTGCATGTATAAGTATATACACTGTTAGTTTTCCCCTCCCTCTTCTCTCCCTTTCTTCCTCCTTTCCTATTTCATTCCCTTTCTCCCTCATTTCCTTCGTGTGTGTGTGTGTGTGTGTGTGTGTGTTGTTGTGTATTCTGCTTTATCATTTTCCTCCCCACTTCCTTGAGAGTCTTTCTTTGCACCTAGAGCTAGACTAGTTGCCAGGAAGCCCTCACAATCTTCCTGTCTCTGCTTCCATCCCTCAGTCTTAGGGTTATAGGCACAAATAAGATGTACTCAGTGGGCAGAGACAGGGGGGCTCTGGACTTGCTGGATGTTAGCCATCTTAGCTCCAGATTAATAAGAGACACTGTCTCAAAGACATAAGCTGGAGAATAATAGACCTCACAACTCCCTCTGGCCTTTTCTTTAAGTGTGTATATGGCAAGTATACCAACTACTTCACACGCTTGTAACATCACATACATATATTGCACTCACATACAAGTGGGTTTCGTTGTTTCTTGATTTTTATTTATTTGATAGATAGTACTGCCTGTTGATTTCCCCCTTCCATTCTAGGTATTTTTTATGATCATTTTACATTTTAACTGAATTAACTCAGTATTCTATGAATTAAGAAATAGCATTCTCTTTAATAGACACATGTTAAAAGACCCAGAGAGGAAAGTTACATCTCCAAGATCAAACAGACGCTGGGTAGCATGGCTGGATGGCAAGCCTAGTAGACAGTCTGAAGCTGATGCTTAGTTCCTAAGTTACTTTCTACATAAATGACAAGAGCATCCCATTTTCCATGATCTGCCACGATCTTTGCACATTTGTCTTATTGGTTTTAAGCCACACTTCATGTATTAGAGATGATGGCCTTTTTGTCTAAGTGTTGCCAGTTTGCATTTTCTTTGTTTTATATATAAGCATCTTGAGTTATCAGTCTTTCTTTGTGTTCACTAATTTTATCACTAGATCCAATCTTATTAGTTCTAGGATTATAAAAATAATTTTATGTTATTTCATCTTGTGCTTTTATCTTTTATTTAAACCTTAGCTACTTTATGGGTTATTTTGGTTTTAGTAGGGAAATCAACATCACTAGTTATGCATAGTTTTTAAAGAAAATATAGTTTTATCTTTTGTTTTCCCCAACAAAAATATAAGTATACAAAGATATATACAGACAATTTCTTATCTCAATGTATCTTCTCTTATATATGAACAAATTCTTAGGTACAATAAGTAGATATGTGAGCACTAAGGAAATAAAAATATGTGTTACCCATACACCTGGATGTTTAGAAAAATTCATTTGTTTTCTTGAAACAAGGTCTCACTTCTTAGCCTTGGTTGGTCTGGAACTCACTCAGTAGTCCCAAACTCTTGGCACTCCTACTGTAGCTGTCTCCTGAGTGCTGTGATCTCAGGTGTGAGCTAATGCATCCAACTGAGAAATTTAATTATTAATTCAGTGGTAGGCTTGGTGCTTCTGTCATGGGAGAGCCCACTTTCCCTTAATAGAACATTGATAACTCTTTGTTATTCATCAGTATATTTATTTATTAGTAGAATTTAAAATATGTCCTTCTGTTATGTATCAGCATATTAATTTACCATTAGCACCCACAGAAGTTGGTTCAATTCCCTTTTCATGATTCTTGTGCTCTGAGGCAACAGAAGGAAGCAGGTCAATACAGACTCTATTGAAGAAGCATAATAACGTCACAGGTTAGAATTTACACAGCAGCTTTATCTACCTGCGGACTCAACCAGCCTGCTCTTGACTGGGAGGTCCTGGAGTCCATAGTTGCACTGCCTTTTAATTTCTAGTGTAACAGCTAACTGCTGATTTGGATCTGTGTTGGAGGAAAGAGGGTGAAGAATGTCTGGCTGTCTGGCTCTTGGCCAGTGGCTCTAAGCCAGGTGTGATTTTACTTCCAGGGGACAGTATCTGAGTCTGGAGCCATTTCTGGTGAGCACAACTGGGCTCCTCCATCTAGTGTACAGCTCCTCCATCTAGTGGAGAGATACTGAGGTGCTGCTGGGCACCCTCCAATAGGCAGGGGGAGAGTCTGGGATGCTGTTGGGCACCCTGTGATGGATAGGACAACCTCCCTTGTTAGAGGACTGGCTACAGTGCCTTTGCTTAGGACTGGTAGTCTAGATAAGCAGGATAAGCAGAAATCTGGGTTGCACTGCTATTTAGACTTACAGTGTTAGAAATAACACATTATAAAAAGAATGTAACACAAATAATAAAAGACCCAGTTACTGATACTGGAGTTCAAGCTTCAAGCTTGATCCTCGACCACAGACCAAAGGGGTGATCCACTGAACCTCAGATAGCATCTCCAGACTGCTGTGCTCTCTTCAACATGGCTGGAGACTAATTCTCACATGAGGCTCTTTGCTTCTTCCTTTTATTCCTCTCAAATTTTGGAATTAAAGGCATGGGGTCCCAAGTGCTGAGATCACCATTGTGTTAGCTGTTTCTCTTTTAGATTGGATCAATTTCATGTAACTCAGTGAGGCCTTGAACTAACAGAGATCTGCCTACCTCTGTCCCCAAGTCCTGGGATTAAAGGTGTGTACACTACTGCCTAGCTTCTATAGCTAACAAGTGTGACTGGCTTTGCATTCTGATACTTCAGGCAATCTGTTAAATCATAAATAATACATCACTACAAAAGATGTTAACACCTGCATGCTAACTAAGAATTAATGCCTTTTATGACTTTCGTGGATATTTTCAGTGTTCTTCATGGCTAGCTGCTAGATCAAGGGATCCTTTTTTTCCCCCTCTTTGATACAAAGTCTGTAGTCCTGCCTGGCTAGCTAGTCTGGAACTCACTATGTAGCCCAAGCTAGCCTTGAAATCATGATGTTTCTGCCTCCCTCAGCTTTTCTAGTGATAGAAGGATTTATTATTGTTATTCACCTTTTTATGTAATATAAGGCATTTGAAATTTTTTCTAACACTTGTTGAAACCCTACCAACTACTAGCTCTTATTTATAATCTTCTAAATTATCTTCCTGGTTTAGTTTTCTAGTGGCCTGCTTTCCTCTCTTTGAAAGAATTCTGTAGATAATTTAAACCATCTAGTAAAAAAACCAGTGTTCCTTCAATAAGTGACATATTAATTGTGGTTACAGCAGTGGTTTTACAGTAAAGGAGGCTCCGTGAACCCCACAGTTCTGGGAGGATCATGCTCACTCTCCTGCTTAGGCATGGCTAAAATTGGAGACAGAAGCATGCATGCTATGCAGTTCTGCCTCATTAGTGCTGCCTGCCCCCTTCCTCCCTCTCACCTCTTTTCTTCTGACCCACTTCTGTGTGTTTGGCTGCAGTACCTTGGCCAGAGGCTATCCTTAATAGAGAAAGCGGCAGGAAGCTTGGCCTACAAGCACACCAAGAAAATACATGGAAACAGTGTTGACAAACACATCATTCAGTCATCCATGGAAGCTCAGCTTCATTTAAACACCATATTCTGGGGCTGTTGAGATAGCTTCGTGGGTGTAGATACTTCTTGCTGCATAAGCCTGCAGAACTGAGTGTGATTCTTGGAAAGAGAGAACCAACTCTTGAATGCTGTATTCTGACCTCCATCCACACTTACACCAGGGCACACACATCCCCCCCATAATAACAAATGAAAATAAATATATTCTATACAAATAACTTTTCTTTTTTCCCTCTAAAATCTTCCTGTGGCACCAGAAGGGATCTCTATGCTCGACTGCCAGGGTCATTGATGGCGCCTGTTCAGTCAGATAGTGCCCAAATCGCTGGTATAATAGGGGATTTCTGTTGAATTTCTTGACTTCACAATAAGTAATTGGAGGAGTAACAGATGAGCCAAGTCAAGAATGGAGTTCCCTTACTTCGTTACCATTCTTTTTTTTGGGGAGGGGTTGGTTTTTCGAGACAGGGTTTCTCTTGTAGACCAGGCTGGTCTCGAACTCACAGAGATCACCTGCCTCTGCCTCCCTAGTGCTGGGATTAAGGGCATGCACCACCATCGCCCGGCTTAGTTAACATTCTTAAGCAGCTCTCCAAATGCTTGTGGAAATTCTAATTGTTGGCATTGGTGTTTTGACAGGCTTTATACTTTAGAAGGAAAACTGGTCGAGAGTGGGGCAGAGCTGGAGAACGGGCAGTTTTACGTGGCCGTTGGCAGAGATAAGTTTAAGAGACTACCTTACAGTGAGTTACTTTTTGACAAGTCAGCTATGAGAAGGCCTTATGGGTAAGTCTTCATTCTTGCTCACCCACTCTCATTCTTTAGTGACTGCTTGAAGAAGCACTAAAGCAATGTTAGTGTAAAGGGAGGAGGAGGGGGATTAAGAGTGGGCAGTGGGGGAAGAAAGGCTGTTATCTCATGTGTTCCGTCTGTTTGGAGCATATACACATAAGCATGTAATTAATGGTAGGTGTGATGGTGCACATGGTATTCCAAGCCCAGAGGTGGACACAGGAGGACCAGGAGGTTAAGATCATCCTCCTAACTAGTGAGTTCAAGGCTAGCCTCTCTCAAAATCAAACAAAAAAGTATTGTCTGCAACCACCAGTCTTAGTCATCAGTTAGAATAGATGGCATTCATGACCAAGAACTGTTGCATATAACAAACATACTGTTGGAATTTGTGAAAAGCTAAACACCAAGTTTAAAGTAAATACAAAGCTCCATTTTGGTGAAAAAGATAACAGGCCATGAACTATCTGTATAAATCTCATGGGCAGTTTTAGGTTCTAACAGTGTAGCCAGAATACACAAATTTTCAGTTGGTTTGAATAGAAACTTATAGGAGCTTACACTCATTATTATTTTTATTTGTTTATCTTTTTGAGACAGGGTCTCTCATAGACCAGACAGGTCTCTAACTTTCTATGCAGCCCAGGCTGGCTGTGAGCTTATGCTCTTTCTGCCTCTACCTCTGAGTTCTGGGATTATAGGGGTGTACAGCCTCATCTGGCTTACATGCCCTCCATCCCCTTTAAAAACCATAAAATATAAAGGCAATGTACTTGTACTTGCACAAACAGATAGGGAAGCTGAGTATAGAGTCAGTGCCAGACCTTCCCGTGTGTGTGTGTGTGTGTGTGTGTGTGTGTGTGTGTGTGTGTATACTTACATGTGGGCACATGGATGTGTGGAGGTCAAAGGTTAATGTCAAATGTCTTTCTTGGCTGCTCCCAACTTTATTATTTGAGACAGGGTCTCTTACTTAAGTGCAGAGCTTGCTGACTCAGTTCCAGGGATATTCTGCCTCTTGAGCCCTGAAATTACGAGGCAGTCTCTGTGCCCATCCAGTATTTCCATGGGTTCTGGAGACTTGAACTCTAGTCTTCATGCTTCTGTAGCAAGCACTTTATCCCCTGAGCTGTTTACTCAGCAAGTGCTTGTACTAAGTATGCTTTTCCTCTTGGAAGTACCCTTTGGGAGTATGTCAGTATAGCCTAGTGTGAGAGCCTTGAGCTGGGACACTGGAACTTTCTGGGTGGGTGTTTGGGATCCATCTCTCTTCTTCTGTACAGAGTCAGGGCCTCTTGGCTCTTAAATTTGCCTTTTCGTGACTCTCCTCTGAAGAGGCAGAGTGGAACAGCACCATGGAAGCTGACACTTCTATGAGTAGCAGAATGGAATGTTAGGAGTGTTGGGCCTATATAAGACCCCAGGCCTTCATGCACCTTAGAGTTGTGTGCTAACAGACTGGTTGTTGATTACCCAGTCATGAAATCTAATCCTTTAACAATCTCTGCTTAGCAATGGGTGAGACTGCTGTGAGCAGCACTGGGCACTTGATGGTAATGTAAAAACTGTAACTCATTGGCCTGTCTCATATACATTAATAAGGTTTACTGTTATATATGTGTCCTAATTTTGGAGATAGATTTTGAGATGGATTTTTGGCACAGAAATCTGAAACTTAGGAAAAAGAATTATTATTATTTGGTGATAATTGACCTGTTTAAAAGCGCCCTGAATGTAAATGCCAGCACTTTTCATTCCTTTCCATCACAAGTGGATATAATAGACATTATTTTTAAAAGTTATTATTATGCTGGGTGTGGTGGCATACACCTTTAATCTCGGCACTTAGGAGGCAGAGGCAGGCAAATCTCTGTAAGTTCAGGCCAGCCTGGTCTACAGAGTAAGTTCCAGGACAGCCAAAGATACATAGATAAACTTCATCTAAAAAAACTCAAAAAAGGTCATTGTTATAATTATTATTTTTTTTAAGAAGACTCTTATATAACCTGGGCTATCTTTGAAGTCTTGATACCTGAGACTCTACTTCCTTAGGGCGAGGATTACAAATGAGGGCCACCATGCCCAACAAATTTATTGCTATTGACTCAATCTGGTATAGTTGTTACTTATCTTAAAAAATGATTTTTTAAATCTACAAATAGAAAGTTTGGGAATTTAAATTAAAACTGTTTGTCTTAATTAGGGTTTTTATTTGTGTGAGGAGACACCATGGCTACAGCAACTCTTGTACAAGAAAATGTTTAATTGGGGTGGCTTATAGCTCAGAGGCTCAATCCATTATGGTGGGACATGGTGGTGTGCAAACAGACATGGTGCTGGAGAAGTATCTGAGAGTCTTACATTTTGTAGGCAACTGGAAGTGATGTGACTGTCATACTGAGTGTAGCTTGAGAAAGAGACCTCAAAGTCCACCCCCACAGTGGCACACTTCCTCCACTCCCTGTAAGATTATGGGGGCCAATTACATTCAAAATACCACTCTATTGTAAAAAAACTTGCATTAAAGTTTGTTTGTAAGCATCAAGTCAGATAATATCCAGGAAACCATTAGAAATGATTTAGAATGGAATTTTGATGTTTTATAGCACTAACCACAATAGCCAGTGGACAGAGTCTTCTGGGAGGTGATAGCAGGTAATAGCTCCTCATGCTTCTATATTATGTGTAACCCACATTCATATCTCTAAATTGCAATTTGTTTCCACAGTCAGAAAGCTTCTTCACTGCCTCCCATGGTTGGATCGAGGAAGTCTAAAGGGAGTGTAAGTATCAGCAGCTTTCCTCATTAATGTTCTGTGTCTCTATAGAGCCATCCTTTGGGTTTCAATTAAATTCAAAGGAATAAATCTTAGCTACCTAGTGACAGACATATAAGCATGACTATGTGAAACATTACTAGAGTTTAAGTGTCACAACTGAAGTCCTAAACAAGAGCTAATGCTTTTAGAAGATAGAATCCAAGACCTTTTGCTTGTGTAAACATGATGCAACTTTCTGTTGTGTTTATGGTAGTTCATACAGCTGTGCCAACCTTGCTAGGTCACAATAGTGCTTGGGAGCCTTGTTCCCTGTATCTAACAAAGACTAAAAAGGAAGGTAAGAAGATGGTCACCCTTAGTTGTACTTCTCTGAAAAAGAATCAAGAATATCCTAAATGTTTTATTCCACCCCAGTTGGTCATTCCTTCACTGCTTGTTACCTGACCAAGGATTGATGATGTGGGAACCAGAGAATATGTGGATAGTTCATCTGCTAGCAGTTCAGTTTGCACTGGAGCTCATCCCCCAACCTCCAGTCTGCACTGGAGCTCACCCCATAACCTTCAGTCTGCACTGGAGCTCATCCCCCAACCTCCAGTCTGCACTGGAGCTCACCCCATAACCTTCAGTCTGCACTGGAGCTCATCCCCCAACCTCTAGTCTGCACTGCAGCTCATCCCCCAACCTCCAGTCTGCTCTGGAGCTCACCCCATAACCTCAAGTCTGCACTGGAGCTCATCCTTCAACCTCCAGTCTGCACTGCAGCTCATCCCATAACCTCAAGTCTGCACTGGAGCTCATCCCCCAACCTCTAGTCTGTACTGCAGCTCACCCATAACCTCCAGTCTGCACTGCCTCTCATCCCCCAACCTCCAGTCTGTACTGCAGCTCACCCCATAACCTCCAGTCTGCACTGCAGCTCATCCCCCAACCTCCAGTCTGCAGTACAGCTCATCCCATAACCTCCAGTCTGTACTGCAGCTCACCCCATAACCTCCAGTCTGTACTGCAGCTCACCCCATAACCTCCAGTCTGCACTGCCTCTCACTCCCTAACCTCCAGTCTGCACTGCAGCTCACCCCATAACCTCCAGTCTGCACTGCCTCTCACTCCCTAACCTCCAGTCTGCACTGCAGCTCACCCCATACCCTCCAGTCTGCACTGCAGCTCACCCCATAACCTCCAGTCTGCACTGCAGCTCATCCCCCAACCTCCAGTCTGTACTGCAGCTCACCCCATAACCTCCAGTCTGCACTGCAGCTCATCCCCCAACCTCCGGTCTGCACTGCAACTCACCCCCTACTGCACCCTCCCACCCATAGCTCCCTTGAGGATGAAGTCCACTTTGTTTGGAGGGCTGCTCTAGCAGGTTTTTATGACTGAGGGTTCTCTGATCTCAGTGGCCTCATCAGAGGTGATCAGAACTGATCTACCATTCTTACCCCATTCTGATTAGCTGAGCAGCAGTCATGTTCTGGTGTGTTGTAAGTACTTGGGGGATCAGTGATATTATCTCCTAATGGACAAGTATGTATCCTTTCCTGCTGTCTTGTTTCATGACATTCTTAATGAAAAAGTTCATTTTGTTTTGTAATGTTGAACTTGACACTCATTCATGGAGCCTGTGCTGCTTATGACTATGCTCTTGTCCCTGATGCTCCTCACACTCTAAGGGAAAGACAGAAAACTACCTGGAAGGTTATGACCAGCCTGAAACTGAGTACCCAGGATATGATCACCAAGAACATAGAATATGAGCACTGCCTTTGAGTACCAGATTCTAGTAGATGCAGCTGAGGAAAGGGGTTTTAGGAGGGGAGGGTGGTGTAGAGGAAGGAAAAATGGGTACATAAAGATGCTATCATGGTAGCCAGTATTCGGTATCTACCTAAGACAGAGAAGAGACTTAATGTGGTGTGATTCCATAGGTAAGCCATGGGAAGTGGCCTGAGTAGAACATGTTGATTCTAGACTAGGTTGACAGCAAGGGACATGGGAACTGATTGTTAATTCTTTTTTTGTATTTTTTATTTAAATTAGAAACAAGCTTGTTTTCCATGTCAATCCCAGTTCCTTCTCCCTCCTCTCCTCCTGTGCCCCCCACTAATCCTCAATCCTATCCAGTTTCTGCTCCCCAGGGAGGGTGAGCCCTTCCATGGGGGATCTTCAAAGTCTGTTGTATCATTTGGAGCAGAGCCCCTCCCACATGTGTCTAGGCTGAGAGAGTATGCCTCTATGTGGCATGGTCTCCCAAAGTCCATTCTTTTGCTAGGGATAAATAATGATTATACTACCGAAGGCCCCATAGATTTCCGATGCCTCACTGACACCCATATTAAGGAGGTCTGGATCAGTCCTACGCTGGTTTCTTAGCTCTGATTATTATTCTTGAAGAGACAGTTTGCTTGGTGATTGGGTAGATAAGGTTGCTGGAGAAGATAGAAACAAAGGTAATCACAGAGTTTTTGAGTGTGGATGACAGAGGAAAAAAAATGGTAGTTCAATGAGCAGGAAGAGGACAGAAGTAATAATTAACAATGGCTTCTTTTCAAATGTGCTGAATTGATTTGGCCAGCCACATAATGACCCATTTTGAGGCACGGAGACTGTGTAGTACTGCTAACACACAGGACAGCTTGGCATAACCGAGGCCATCAGTAGTAATGTAGCTTGAGGGAATGGATGAGTAGGAACCCGGAGGGGACAATTCAGTTATAACCACAGGTGACCTAGGCATAGAGAATCTAACCTCTTAAGGCAGAGAGGAAGAGGAGACTTTGTATTTCAGTAGCTGAAAAGTATCTTTACCACTAAAAATGATAAATGAAACCCATATACTTAAGGGCTTGGGAGATTTATTTATGAAGGTTTATTTTAGTTTTAAGTATGTGTATGTGCCTTTGTGGGGCTATGAGCACATGAGAGCAGGTATCTGCCAAGGCTAGACAAGGGTGTCAGATGCCCCGAAGTTGGAATTACAGGCTGCCTGTATGTGGGTGTTAGGAACCAAACTTGTGTGTTCTGCAAGAACAGTAAGCATACTTAACCTCTGAACCATCTTTCCAGGCCCAGGATCTGCATTCTATTCTCTAATTTTCTGGAGGACTTTGTGGCAGAATTACTTCTGCACACACACCATTCAAGTCTCAGCTCTTCACTCTCATAGTACAATGGACAAGCAGTGGTTAAACAGAAACTCAGTGTAACTGAATAACTCACCCAGAGTCACAGGAAAAAAATGATGGCAAGACTAAGGTCACAACCCAGCTCTTCACATTCCCAGCTATTGCGTGTTGCAATTTTGTGTTTACTAGTACGGAATCTGAATAACTAAAATTTTCATTAACAATGTAAGACCATGCCACATGTTCCAGCACACTCATGTGGTTTCCTTCTTCGCTCACTCACTCCTTAGGATGATTTCTGAATACATGTTCTCTGATGATTCAGTATTCAGGTGAGGGGCAGAGATGAGTAAAAAGATGTGCTTCTCTTTGATCTACGGGATAATAAGGTCTACTGCAGGAGACAACTGTTGACCCAACAATTCTGAAAGTCAGTGGAAAACTAGAGTATGGAAGAAAACTGCAGAACAGTGTGAGAGACAACAGAGAGAAAACCAATTTAGATAGCTGTGCAGAGGTCTCACTGAAGAAGTGACTAGAAGATATAAGGTACACTCCCTTTCAATGGAAAAGAGACTCAAGATGGTTAAACTCATCTCCATGTTATAAAACAGAAAAGTTAAAATGACAGTTTGTCTTTCTTCTTGGAGTGCCCTCACAGTGTTGCTGTGTATGTCCATCTATTCATCACTCACTGTATCTGTCATGCATCCATTCACCTCAGCAGCTATCCATCCTTTAACATCAGCCACACATCCTTCTGCTCTCAATTTGATTATTTCCTGGCATCTACTCCTCCTGCTAACACATAGGACAGCTTGGCATAACCGAGGCCATCAGTAGTAATGTAGTTGAGGCAGGGAACCAAAGTTATACAGGTTGAAGGTGAAAGGGAGGGAGAAGACCAGGGCAGTGGATGCTAAGTGAAGTAGGAGTAGGCAAGTTCTATCCTATAGACCAAGCAAGGCTTGTATCCAGGCTTTCATGGGATGCTAGAGGAAGAATGCTAGTATTTGACTTGTACTTTTAAAGATTCAAACATTAAAATTATGTGTGTGTGCACGTGTTTGTGCACACGTGCGTGTGCACATGAATGCAGGTACCTGTGGAGGCCAGAAGAGAAGTGTCAGATCGCCTGCAGCTGGAGTTACAGGTGGTCGTGAGATGCCCGACATGGATCCTAGGAAGCCAACTTGGTTCCTCTGCAAGAGCAGCAAGTGGTCTTAACCACTAAGCCATTTCTTCAGCCTTTGATTTATAATTTTCAAAGCTCATTATGGCAAACACAGGTTGGAGAAAGAGTAGAAGTAAGAGGCAGAGGGTGCTAAAGTACAAGCATGGGGTGCAGGTAACTGGGCTCTGTGGCTGCAGGGTTGATGGTATACTTATCTATTATAACCCTGTTTTGAGTGTTTTGCTGCTGGTCAGTTTACTTGCCCAGCAGCGATTGTTGAGTACTTGTTCCTTCCTGGGCACAGTTGCAGTACTTGGGTGTCTAGAGATTTCAAAGCTTGACTGTGTGTAGGTTGCCATTCTAGCACACCACAGAAGATTATGCCTGGTGCCTTTGATGTCAACCAGGGAAGAGCTTAAAGGATAGTCTGTTCAAACAAGGAAGGAGAAAGTAAGTGAAGGTTGTGTTGCAGTGTAGTTAGGATTCATATGAGCAGAGAATAATCTGGAGCACAGGACCTGGTGAACAGAATTCTCATTCAACTCACTTAGGGTATGTGTGGATGCTTGGCATTGAGCCAATGACAGCATCCTATGCCAGCAAACCCAGTCACAAGCTTGGTTTTTAACAGCAGAAGTAATTTACACCTTTTCTGTAATTACTAGGTTCCCTGGAGAATGCTGGGTTTGTTAGATCAGTAACTG